CCGCCGATGCCAACAGCGCGATCAGCGCCTCCACGGCACCATGGCTCACGCGCGTAGCAGGGCTTCCACCCCTTTCCTGCAGTTCAGCGCCGCCTGATGTTGAGGCCTGTTTAAAACCGTTGCTCACGCAGCTGGAGCCCTGCCCTGCCCGGCTCTGCATTGTTACCCTCCCCCCCTCAAACCTTGCCCTCCGTCCCTCCCCAAAACCTCTCGCAACCCCTCCATGCATCAAACAAACGCCAGCCGCGTTTGAGCGCTTCGCAGGCCTTGCCGGCGGGCGCAAGATACCCTACACGATCGTCCGAGGTATGAGCGACCACGCCGTGCACACCCTCGTCAAAAGCAGCACCACCAAGGGCCTCTGGCTCCAAGGTGTCGAGGTTCCCGAGGATTTTGCTACGAGCTTCAAGTACGCCATCGCCTCGGCCTCCGCAGCGGTGCTGTCGCTGCTCAGGGAGCGGTGCGCCAGGGCCGGCGGGGGCGACGCGGCTGCGGCCTGCAGCTTCTCGGCGGTCTGAGGGCGCAGGGTGCCAGCTCGCCGGGCCGGCGCTGTTGCGGGCGCGGTGTTGACGGTAGTGCGAGCACACCCAGATGTCGCAGACAGGTGGGCACCCAGGCGCTTGATTGGACGTCTGCAGGCTGGCAGGGGCAGCGCTCGGCACCCCCTGGCAGGCGGCGTGTTTTTGCGCTTGTCGGAGGCTCAGCGGTGCGGCATGTGCTGATACTTGAGGGTTCACAGGCGTGAATATCCAAGTCTTTCGGGACACGCTACTTGATACCTATTTGCTGGTGGACACGTTACTTGGTACACTGCACAATTGCCTCCGACGCTAACTGGCCGGCAGTACTTGCGATTCTCACCACTGCCAGCCTGCCAAAATGCGACGTCGCCGATGTCTGCGCTGCACTGCACGGCGGGTGCAGGGGTCCTGAGTGTGGCGCCACGCCCTTGACGTCGCCATCACCAATACGCGCCACCTGCACTCACGGCACTGAAAACGCATGCCGCTGCCAAACCACACCGTGAATGCGACCACACGAGATGAGGCCTGACTGCTTGCGCCGGTTGTTGAACGCTGTCGCTGCGCCGCCCTCGGTGCGAGCTGCCTGCTGGGTCGTGGAAGCTTCGGCACCAACCTGGAGCACTGAGCGCTGATGAGGGTGATGTTGTTTTTCACATACGGCTCTTCGTGTATGGGCACACGAGAAAATTGATTTGGCTGCTTTATAAGTGTGGCTGTTGCTTCATGGTTGCAAAATTCATCCTGTTGCTGTACTGTTCGTCTCTGGCTGCAGAATGGTTGTGTCTCCTTCCCATATGGGCTTCGGTCCTGTGACTTTCACAGGGGACTGGCGTGCCACCTTCCGCCTGTCTAGTTGCCTGTTTGAGGGCCGGGTGCCTTGCGGCTGCGGAGCACAGCCCGATGAGGCGTTGGATCCTGACCCTGCCTGTCCCTGCATCTAGCGGGCTGCGACCTTCACTCCTGAGGGGCAGGTTTTCTGCCCATACGTGCACCCAATGCATGCAAAGCGTGCCGGGCTACGACGCCCCTTCAAAATGCCTTTGCATCACCTCAGGCCCCACACACCCGTGCAAACATGCACGCTTTGAAACGGGCATCTTTTGAACAGCATGACGTGAGAAGGATGCATGTGATCTCCAGCCTTGGACTGTGCCATCAGACAGCACAACCCTGCATCTTCAGCTGTACACTGGGATACAAGCACCCCCCACCCCAGCTGTCCTCCTGCTCCACCCCTAGCGCTCCGCCTGCCAGCCCTCCTGTCTGCTGCCACCTGCTGCAGCCCCCACCAGCTGCGTTGCACCCAGATGTGCCTGCTAGCCAAAACTCGGGAGGGGTACCCAGCACCCATCCAGCGTGTACTAGCACACCACAGGTTTACATATCAGAGGTGCATTTGCAGCACCCCGACGTCAAAACAAGGCAGCAGTCATGCCTCGCCTGTGCTCTTGGCCCAGAAAAACACGGCCGCACGCGCTCGCCTCGGCCCCACAGGGGATGAGGGGCGCGCGCCGCCCGCCTGCCCGCCTCGACACGCCGCCGCAAGAATATTCGACAGGCTCTGTCCAGACCCGGCCACAGAACACGTGTGACAAAATTATGGGCATCGGAACGTTCACCCAAAGGCACACTCACGCACCGCCCTGCTGGCGCTGAGGTTAATAGACAGCAGCACACTTTGCAAACCGTCAGCCGCTTGATCCCGCCGCACTCGCGCTCGGGAGCGACACTGACACGCGGACAGCCCGTCACCACAGACCACGCCGCGCCCCCGACCCAAGCACCCCAAGCCCCCAGCCAGGCTGCCCGTCAGAGCGCGATGAGGCGGGCCCGGCCGAGGAAGCCGAATAGACGAGCCCAAGGACAGGCGCCACGCGGAACAAGGTTAGGCTGCGAGCCCCCACGAACGAGAGGAGAAGGCGTCAAACAGCCTTGGCAGGGCAAGGAGAAAGCCTTAATCAGCCTCAACCTTGATCAAACGACCTTGCAAGGCCGGAGCGGGCGCGGACGCTCTCAAGGAGGGCCACCGAAAGCGGCGCACGCAGGCGCGCCCCTCACAGCACCTTCTTGACGTCCCAGAAGCCGTTGCGCTCCGCGTTGACGGCGGCGGCCTTGTCGGGGCTGGTCACGGCCACCACGCGCGCCGCGTCGCCGCGCACCACCTCAATCACCTCGGCAAACTCCCTGGGAGGGGGTGGGGTGAGTGTGCGGGTGTGTTTGTGTGTGTGTGTGTGTGTGTGTGCATGCGCGAGAGCGTGAGAGGGCAGCAGCACGAGGTAGACAAAGGCCTCGTGCGCACCCACATGAAAGACGACGAAGCCGCTGTCGCGCACAGACCTGGCCAAAGTCATACTCGCTTTTGCACGCATCCCCTCTCTCGCGCAAGCCCCTCGCCGCCTTGCCCTCTTGGACTGTCGCCGCCCTGCTCTGCCCCCACCCTCTCGGTCCATCGGCCCTCGACATGGCCGACCCCACACACCCCCTGCTGGCAGCCAAGTGCTAGCAGCCACCCCCATCCCCTCATAACCAGCAGCTGGACAAGAGCCCAGCCCCCAGCGCCCCCCCCCCAGCCCACCTGAAGTCCTTCTGGCTGGTGGCCAGGATCTGCTCGCGCCGCGCCTGACGCTCCTCGTCACTCACACCCAGGAGGTACCTGCAAACGGGGGCACAACACACACACGACCGCAAACAATGCATGACATGATTTGAGGGACCGTCAGCCAACGGACGCGGAGAATGGTTGGAAGCCAGCCGCGGGACCACCCAGTGTCAGTTCACTTTCAAATCGGGACTTCAAAATCCCCAAGCGCGGTCAGCCAGCCACAGGGCAGCCTCGAGCCCGCCCGCCTCTGCAAGCACATGGCAGTAGCAGCAGCCCCCCAGGCGGCCCGCCCCCCCAGCTACAGTGCGCGGCCCGGCGGGGCCCGGCGCCGCCCACCTGGTGAACTGGGAGTAGCCCTTGGCGTCGGGGAGCTGGTAGGAGTCGATGTCACCCATGGTGCCGATGACGGCCTTGGTGAGGGCGTCAGAGTCTAGGGTGAGGGATCGCAGGAAGCCGGGGGTGCCGTCGTAGGCCTCAAGGGTGTCCAGCAGGTTGGGGTCTGGGGGTTGGGG